TCTGACACACACAGCTACATGGTCTTGGCAAAACAACTGCTCAGACACAAACAGGATCTCAGGAGCTTCACGTGCTTTGGCTCCGGGATCTCTGGAAAGATGACTGCAACTCAGACAAGGTGGGAGGTTGGACCTCTGTAAACACCCCTAGAGAGGAAGCTGAATCCATGGGCCTGAGCAGCGTCAGTCTGTGGGCCCCATTTCCGTGATGCCCTACATGATAAGACTCATTGGCTTGGAATTCCAGCCAGCCCCCAGCAACAGTGTTGCAGCTACTTGAGACGAAACAGAGTTCTCGGAGGCAGGGAAGGCTGCCATGTTTGCTATTTGAATGACTCAGCCATTCCAGCCTGGACTTAGGAGAGTCCAAATAAAATTGACGGCAGATGGAGTGAACCCTCAACACAGCACTGTGGCTCTACCAAAATGTGGCCAGACTGCTTCTTGAAGTGGGACCCTGAGGCATTTTTTATCTAATGGTGGGGCCTTCTGCCAGAGCCTCTGGACAGCCCCTTTCATATTCTCCAGCAGAGTTTTGATTTCTTCATGGATGCAGTGCCCAGTGGAAGGAGTGAGCCCCCCCATTTGCTGTTTGTATCAGCCATTCCAGCCTGTCGGCTTAGGAGAATCCAAATCATTCAGGATCAGAAAGGGTACCCCAGCACAGCACAGTGGCTCCAACATAATGTAATCAGCCTGCTTCTTTAATTGGGACCCTGATATGCTCCTCGTCTCTGGATGGGCCAGATGTTTTCTGGCCAACAGAGGTTTAAAAACTTTCTGAGAGTTCCTAGAGAAAGAGTGGGCTACCATCTATGCTGTTTCAGCACCTTAGCTCTTTCAGTCTTTTGGCTATGGAGAGCCCAACCTGATGAGGGGTAGAAATGGTACCAGCACAGCATGGCTGATCTATTAAAGTGAAGCTAGATGGCTTCTTTAAGTGGGTCTCCAATCCTGTTCCTCTTTGCTGGGTAAGAACTACCAACCAGAGTCTTTAGGCACCTTCTAAAGGTGTGTTTAAACCAGTAACAGGCCTCCTGCACCTCTCCTGGGATGGAGCTCCCAAAGTGGTGGGACTTCACTGGTGATACTTCCAGTTACTGGGAAATTTGAGGTGACTGGAGACTGGAGTAGAAGCCCTACACACTGTAATAGCCCTACACAAAATAGCCAAACAAACAAATAAACAAAAAAGGGAAACAAACAAAAAAACAACTCAAACGTCAACAACCTCAAAGATTAAAGGTAGATAAGCACACACATGTGAGAAATAGTTAGTTCAAGTATACTAAAACTCAAAAATCACAGTGCCCTCTTTCTCCAAAATGACCACATTTCCAGCAAGCTTTCAGAATAAGGCTGAGATGACTTATTTGAGATGACTGAAATAACAGAAGTAGATTCCTGTATGTGGATAAAAGTTAACTTCACTGACTTAAAGGAACATGTTCTAACTCGATGCAAGACAGTTAAAGATTACAATATATATGATATTTCAGGAGCTGATAAACAAATTAGCCAGAATAGAAAAGAACTTAACCAACCTGATAGTGCTGAAAAACACAATTTTCATAATGCAATCACAAGTATTAATAGCAGAATAGACCAAGCAGAGGAAAGAATATCAGAGCTTGATGACTGTGTTTCTGAAATAAGACAGGCAGACAACAATAGAAAAAAAGAATAAAAGAAATAAGCAAAATCTTTGAGAAATATGGGATTATGTAAAAAGACCAAATCTATAACTGATTAGTATACCTTAAAGAGTTAGTGAGAGGCTTGGCATAGTGGCTCATGCCTGTAATCCCAGTACTTTGGGAAGCTGAGGTGGGCAGATCACCTGAGTTTGGGAGTTTGAGACCAACCTGACCAACGTGGAGAAACCCCATTTTTACTAACAATACAAAATTAGCTGGGCATGGTGGTGCATGCCCGTAATCTCAGCTACTCGAGAGGCTGAGGCAGGAGAATTGCTTGACCATGAGACACAGAGGGTGTGATGACATGAGATCATGCCGTTGCACTCCAGCCTGGGAAACAAAAGCAAAACTGCATTGGAAAAGATATTTAAGTAAATCATCCATGAGAACTTTCTAACCTTGTTATACAGGCCAACATTAACATCCATAAAATGCAGAGAACTCTAGTAAGATACTCCATGAAAAGATCATACCAAGACATATAATTATCAGATTCTCCAAAGTTGAAATGAAAACTTATTACCAGCCACTACAAAAACACACTGAAGTACACGGACCATTGACACTATCAATTAGCTACATGAACAAGTTTGCAAAATAACCAGCTAGCATAAGATAACAAAATCAAATCTACATATAACAATAATGTAAGTGGACTAAATGCCACAATTAATGCGCACAGAGTGGCAAGTAAATAAAAAACCAAGACCCATTGGTATGCTGTCTTCAAGACACCCATCTCACATGAAGTGACACATATAGGCTCAAAATAGAGGGATGGAGAAAACTTTACCAAACAAATGAAAAACAGAAAAAGTAAGGGTTGCAATCCTAGTTTCCAACATTTTTTTTTAGACTGAGTTTCACTCTTGTTACACAGGCTGGAGTGCAATGGTGTGATCTTGGCTTACTGCAACCTCTGCCTCCTGGGTTCAGGCAATTCTCCTGCCTCAGCCTCCTGAGTAGCTGGGATTACAGGCACATGACACCATGCCCAGCTAATTTTTTATTTTTAGTAGAGACGGGGTTTCACCATGTTGACCAGGATGGTCTCGATCTTTTGACCTCATGATCCACCTGCCTCAGCCTCCCAAAATGCTGGGATTTCAGGTGTGAGCCACTGTGCCAAGCCCCCAAAATAGACTTTAAACCAACACAAAAATAAACAAAACAAACAAGCAAACAAACAAAAAAGACAAACAGAGTAATCAGATAATGGCAAAGGATTCAATTCAACAAGACCTTACTATTCTAAATATATGTGCACCCAACACAAGAGTACCCAGGTTCATGTAATAAATTTCTGGAGATCTTTAAAGAGACCTAGATCAGAGTGGCAGACTTTAACACCCCACTGACAATATTAGACAGATTATTGAGACAGAAAATTAACAAAGATATTCAGGATATGAACCTAGCTTTGGATCAAATGGATGTGATGAATATTTACAGAACTCTCCACCCAAAAACAGCAGAATGTACATTCTTCTCATCACCACATGGCACTACTTCTGAAATCTGTCACATAGTCTGAAGTGAAACATTCTTCAGAACTAAAATCATAATAAACAGTGTCTAAGACAACAGCACAAATTAGAGCAGAAAATAAAGAAATTTACTAAAAACCATAAAATTAAGCAGAAACTGAATAACCAGCTCCTGAATGACTGTTAGGTTAATAATGAAATTAATGCAAGTATTAAGAAATTCTTTGAAACCAGTGAAAACAAAGACAAAACATACCAGAAGCTCTAGGACACAGCTAAAGCAGTGCTAGGAGAAAAATTTATAGCACTAAATGCCCACATTCAAAAGCCAGAAAGGACAACTTAACATCACAACTAAAATAACGACAGAAATAAGAGCAAAGAAATTCTACAGCTAGTAGAAGAAAAGAATTCACCGAAATCAGAGCTGAACTGAAGGAGATAGAAATATAACCAATAATTCAAAAGATCAACAAATTCAGAAGCTGGTTTTTTCTTAGAAACTAATTATATGGAAAGACAACCAGATATACTAATAAGGAAGAAAAGATAAAAAATTTAAATAAACACAATCAGAAATAGTAAATGTGACCACTGAATTCACAGAAATAAAAATAACCATCAGAAAATACTATAAACAACTCTATGCTCGTAAGCTAAAAAATCTAGTAGAAATGGGTAAATTTCTGAATACATACATCCTCCAAGACTAAACCATGAATAAATTGAATCCCTGAAAACACAAATAACAGGCTCTAAAATTGAGGCAGTAACAAATGTCCTACCAACCGCAAAAAGCCCAGAACCAACGATTAACAGCTGAATACTATCAGATTTATACAAAGAATAACTGGTACAATTCCTACTAAACCTATTTCAAAAAATTAAAACAGAGGATTTTCTCCCTAATGCTTTTTATAAGACCACATCATCCTGGTACCAAAACCTTGCAGAGACACAAGAGATAAAGAAAACTTCAGGCCAATATTCTTGATGAACATTGATGCAAACATTTTTAACAAAATAGTGGCAAACTTCATCCAGCAGCACATCAAAATGATTATTCATCACAGTTAAGTAGGCTTCATCCATGGGATGTGAGGTTAATTTAACATATACAAATCAATATGATTCATCATATAAACAGAACTAAAGATCAAAACCACATGACTTCTGTGAATAGATGCAGAAAAATCTTTCAACATAATTCAACATGCATTCAGGTTAAAAACTCTCAATAAACTAGGAATTGAAAAAACATCCCTCAAGATAATAAGAACCATATATGACGAAACCACAGACAACATCATGCTGAAAAGGCAAAAGTTGAATTCTCTAAAATCAGCATAAGACAAGGATGCCCTCTCTCACAACTCCTATTTAAGCCAGTATTGGAAGTACTGGCCAGAGCAATCAGGTAAGAGAAAGAAATAAAAGACATTCAAATCAGAAGAGAGGAAGTTCAACTACAGTTGATAGCAGGTGACATAATTTCATATCTAGGAAACCCATATCGGCTCAGCCCCAAAGCTTCCTAAGCTGATAAACATCTTTGTCAAAGTCTCAAAATACAAAATAAATATGCAAAAATCACTAGCCCTAACATTTTTATACACCAAAAACCGTTAAGCCAAGGGCAAAATCATGAATGACCTCTCATTCACAATTGCCACAAAAAGAATGAAATACCAAGGAATGTATCTAACAGGGGAAGTGAAAGGTCTCCACAAGGAGAACTATAAACCACTATCCAAGGAAATCAGAGCTGACATAAGCGAATGGAAAAACATTACATGCTTATTGATAGGAAGAATTACAATTTTTTGAAACCACACTTCAGGAATGTCTCCTGCGTGGTGTGGTGATTCTGCGTCTGGTTCTGTTGGGGTTGGGCCAAGGTTGTGGCCGGGGCTGGGGAGGAGGCATCCCAAAGGCCGAACTTTGTGAGGTCACCAGAATAAGGGTTGCCGGCCAGGCTACCATCCCCCCCAGTCAGCGGAGTAGTGAGTGTGGGAAATAGGATGCTGTAGTAATACAATGGAAATCTTGTTTGAAGCATCTGCAAGTCATCATAACCATATACTTGTGGCGGATAGGCATGTAACAGCCCTGGAGCCACAATACACGGATTAGGCAACAACGGTGGGACCCCAGGAGGGAGGCTGGGAGGAGCTTTTCCTGAAGTCGTGGCAACTGAACTTCGAGTCGAGGCTGTGACAGGGGAGTTGCAGCCTAGGCTGAGACCCAGACTACTGCCACTATTGAGAGTGGAGGAGACACTGACCACTGGGGGAGGTGCAGAGAGCTGGAGGAAGAATAGAGATTCGTTTCACTCTCCATGCTTGTGTGCAAAAGAGTGGATGTTGAAGTGTGCCCAGAAGATGTTGATGACGAAAGGGTATTCTGCTGCGTAGATAATGTGCTGCTGTGTTGTGTGGTGTTAGTATTTCGAATCTCCTCACTGTGGCTCAAGCCACCCAAGGAGGATGAGTGCAGATTGGTTGTTGTCACTAAGGAAGGTGCAGATACCATTTCATTGAGAGCGGGGATGCTAGAAGTGGAGGGTAAATCAGATTTTACTGCAGAGCTTGTAGCACCTTCAACAGATTGAGTGGTCCGTAATTGTGTGGCCTGCACAGAACTGAAGCCATTCTTTGCCTGAGTCAGGTCCTTTTGGGGTGATGAAGAGATGGAGCTGAGGTACCACCGAGTCTGTGTGGATCTCTGTTCATAAAGAGGGCCCTGAGCATTATTTTGGGAGGTATAGGTTGTCGACTGAATTGGGCCACTCTGATAACGACTCCTTGACTCTGGTTAGATCAAATTGTAGATGAAGATTCGCTGGCCGTGCTGGTATATAGGCTACTGGAGCTGGCTTGAAGAGGCGCTCGTGGTAGGGGTGGACTCATAATCAGAAAGGACTGGCTCTGACCCAAACTGCAATGCCCCAAACTGCAGGTTTAGCCCTGAGATAGCTGCTGAGCCAGGCATCTCCACAGCCAGAGCAGGAATCTTAGAAGTCAAGGAGGCTTTTTTCTCCTGCTGTTTCAGCTTTTTCTGAGCTGGCTAGGGCTAGAGGACTGGTTGTCTGAAGATCTAGGTGACATCGATGGAGCCGATGTGGATTTCCTTGGCAGAGGAGAAGACTGAGGTGGAGGTGCAGCTGTGGAGGTAGCCACTGCAGGTGACTTCTCCTGAAGGAACACCTCCATCATGGTTGAAGATGGGGTAAAAGCCTGGCGCTTTATAAAGGGGCTGTGCACTGTTGAATCATTTGGGGATTGTGTCATCAAGCCCATGTCCCAAGAGGAGGTGGTGGTGCTTCCAGTCTAAGAATGCTGAACTGCCAACTGAGCCAGGGCTTGAGCAGTCTTGAATTGCTCCAAGAACTGGGAGCCCGTAGTACTGCCGCCTTTAGCTTCATTCACCATCACCAAATCCTTTCCCCAGCAGGCTCACCATACTGTGATGAGAAAATGTGTTCCCTGAAGCCGGCTGTGTTGTGGAGTCTGCTTTGAGTTGCTGAACACCAGAGGCTGGGCCAGAGAAGGAGCCTGAGATGGATCCAGATTAGATGAATCATTCTCCATTGTAGATGGTGTCTTCCCGAGAAGAACAGCAAGGTCAATTCTCTGACCAGCAGTGATTGTCACATTCTCCACAGGCAGAGGCACTGAAGACACATTAGAGGCAGTGAAGATCTTGGTCTCAGAAAGATCTTCATTCCAATCTTCAGTCCCCCATTCCTCTGTTGCAGTCCTCCCAGTCTGAAATTTTCGGGGATAATTTGACCCCTCAACCCCAATGAAATCAAGTCTCGTCTCATCATCTGGTTCAAAGTGGCCAGTGTTGTTCTATGTATTGCTGCTACTATTGCCATAGTTATCATGAGTATTGGCTGGCTCTGCATAATCAGCTGGGTTAAAAGTTCCCATTCCTTGAGCAGAAAAACTTTCTCCTCGCCTACCAGAGCCACATCTGCCTTGGCCACGGCCCCTTCTTCCTGTTTCCGTTCCTCTTCCAGAAGGCCCTCCACTGTTGGTGCCATCCAATCCATTTTCCTGACCTCAAACCACAGCTGGTTTTGATAACGCCCCATGCATACACTCTCATCCATGGCTGGCACCTCTCCCCCATCTTGGTGGCCCACCACGTAGCTGACTATAGTCTCTGTTCCGGTCTCGATTTTCTTTGCCTTCCTCATTGTATTCCATCTGGCTGCCGTCCTTCTGGCCCCAGGAATGCGTGTCTGGGTTTCCTTCCAGAAGAACATTGATGGCTCTGTTGACATCTCCTTTGCAGTTGTGCAAAGCAATTACACATTCATCCTGGTTCTTGCCCGTAATATCAATCTTTTCACCTTTTCCTCAAAGTCTCATCATTATGGTCTGAAATCAACTGTGCAAGTTGAATTTCTTCTGCAGTGGCCTGTGGCCACTGCTTGTGCTGTGGCTGGTTTTGGTTTTGAGGTTGTTCCCAGTTTCCCCAGGTTCAGTTAGTGCCCACCGACATAATCATTTACAGTATATACAAATAACAGTATTTACAAGGCAGAATACTCAGTCTCCTCCACACTGACACCCCAGGCCGCATGGCCCCTGTCATGTAATATAAGATTCCCTCTTCCCCACCCCCTCCCTCCTTTTTCCTCTAGCGCTCTCTCTTGCGCCTTCCCCCCCAATATTTTTTTTCATCTTGAGGAAATTGTACTGAGCCTTCATTTTCGCTACCAGGTCACCAGCCTCAGGGTGGGATCTGGTGGCTGCTGTACCATATTTTGGCTCCAGGATGTAAGCTACCTGGACCAGTGGATCTGAATTACTGTACGTAGCTTCTGTTGGGCAGAGATTTCCTCAGGGGTTAGTTTTTGACAAGGTTCTGAGGTGGGAAATTAAGGAAAGAAAGAAAGTTAAAATCAAAGAGAGAAACAAGTTCTCTGTATTAGGCTGACGGCAGTCAACAGGTGAAGCCCAGGCCCAGAAAAAACTTTGATAACATTATCTGAGAAGCCAGAGCTGAGAGAAATGTACTTTGGAAACACTTCCTGCACTCTCTCAACATAAGGAGGGAAGCATAAATTTTTCTTTCACCCTTACCCCTATAGTGTAAGTAAACGTAGGAATTTATAGGTATCTCTGTCCTGTATAAGTGATGCTGACAGTGATATGAACAATCAGGTTCAGGCTGAGGCAGTCTGGAACAAAGGTAACTCTTGTTATGTTTTACCAGAGAAACTGGTGGCATTTTGCTCCTGCCCTAGAGATCTGTGAAACTTTGATATAGAGAGAAGTTATTTACGGTGGAAATAATTTCAAAGCAACGAAGCATTTAAACCATGACTAGGGTCCTGTTAGAAGCATTCTGTTTTAAAAAGGAAGCAAAGCATAAAAGTTCAGAAAATTTGCAGCCTGAGAATGCGGTAGAAAGAAAAATTCCAGACAGGTGTGGTGGCTCACACCTGTCATCCCGAACCTTTGGAGGCCAAGGCAGGCAGATCACCTGAGGTCGGGAGTTCAGGACCAGCCTGGGAAACACGGAGAAACCCATCTGTACACAAAATACAAAATTAGCCCGGTGTGGTGGTGGGCTCCTGTAATCCCAGCTACTTGGGAGGCTGAGGCAGGAGAATCGCTTGAACCTGGGAGGTAAATGTTGTGAGCTGAGATTGCGCCATTAGCGAGACTCTGTCTTTAAAAAAAAAAAAAAAAAAAAGGAAAATAAAACCCCATTTTTATGGGGAATTTCAAGCCAGCTGCATAAATTTATATAAGCAGAAAGAAGCCAAATGCTAATCCACAACATTATGGGATAAAAGGGTCTCCAGGCCATTTCACAGACCTTCACACCAGCCCCTCCCTTCACAGTCCCAGAGGCCCAGGAGAAAAATGTAATTTTGTTGGCAAGGCCCAAGGTCCCATGTGGTGTGCAGCCTAGGGATTTGGTGCTCTTTGTCCCAGTTGACCCACCCATTGCAGACAGAGGCCAATGTAGACCTCAGGTTGTGGCTTCTGAGAGTGGAAGGGCCATGCCTTGGCAGCTACCACTTGGTGTCGAGCATGCAGGTGCACAGAAATCAAGAATTGGGGTATGGGAACCTCTGCCTGAATTTCAGATGTGTGGACAGCCTGGATGCTCAGGCAAAATTTGTTGCAGGGGTGCAGAAGGGAAATGTGGGGTTGAAGCCCCCTCACAGAGTCCCTACTATGGCACTGCCCAGTGGAGCTGTGAGAAGAGAGCCATCATCCTCTGGGCCCCAGAATGCTAGATCCACCAACAGCTTGCACCAAGCACCTGGAAAATCTGCAGCCACTCAACATAAACCCATGAAAGCAGCCAGGAGAAAGACTGTACTCTGAAAAGCCACAGAGTTGGAGCTTCCCAAGACCATGGAAACCCACCTTTTGAATCAGGGTGACCTAAGTGTGACACCTGGAGTAAAAACTTTATTGTGGAGCTTTAAAATTTGATTTTCTCACTGGATTTTGGACTTGAATGGGCCCTGTAACTTTTGTTTTGGCCAAATTTTCCCATTTGGAATGGCCGTATTTACCCAATACCTGTATTTCCATTGTATCTAGAAAGTAATTAGCTTGCTTTTGATTTTACAGGCTCATAGGCAGAAGAAACTGGCCTTGTCTCAGATGAGACTGGAATTTTGGGTTAATGCTGAAATGAGTTAAGACTTTGGGGGACTGTTGGGAAGGCATGATTGGTTTTGAGATGTAAGAACATGAGATATGGAGGGGCCAGGGGCTGAGTGATATGATTCAGTTCTGTCCACACCCAAATATCAACTTGGATTGTACCTCCCCGAAATCTCACATGTTGTGAAAGAAACCCAAAAGAAGGTTATTGAATCATGAACACCAGTCTTTCTTGTGCTATTCTCGTGATAGTGAATAAGTCTCATGAAATTTGATGGGTGTATCAGGTATTTCTTTATCAGCAGCATGAAAACAAACTAATACAACTTCTAAAGTCACCTCATTGTAAAAAGAAAATTTCAGGAGTAGACAACGTGCTTAACCACTGTGTATCTCAATCTTATAGACATAGATATACTTTAATATTTCACATATTTTTAATTTTGTGTATCTTTTCAGTTGTAAGATGTGGTTGTAATTTTTTTTTTGCCCAGGCTGGAGTGCAGTTGGCATAATCTAAACTCACTGCAACCTCTGCCCCTCAGATTCAAGCAATTCTCTTGTCTCAACCCCCCAAGTAGCTGGGACTACAGGTGCCTGACACCACAGCAGGCTAATTTTTGAATTTTTAATAGAGATGGGGTTTCAGCATATTGGTCAGGCTGGTCTCGAACTCCTGACCTCAGGTTATCCACTCTCCTTGGCCTCCCAAAGTGCTGAGATTACAGACATGAGCCACCACACCCAGCTGTATGGTTGTACTTTTCAAAAGTTTTCATTGTGGCAATTTCTCATTTAAATCTAATTAAATTAAATCTAACCACTAATTATGAGAATAATTACTTTTTTAAATAAATAAAAACATCAAATGAAGTTATTTTTGTGTTAGAATTATTAAACATATTAAAACAAAAATCAATTTTAAATAGGGAATCTGAAAGCAAAAACAATTATTTACTGAACTAATTTAAATAGATGAATATTAATCCTCCTGGCAATGGTGTTAGAATATTCTTAAACTCTGAAGAAATGTAACAAAATATTAAATTCTGAAAACTGCTGAAGTTTGTAATATTTTTTAATGTGAAAAACTAAGGTTATTAAGTTACCTTTCTTTGAATGCTTCACCCTTAATTTCATGAAGAAATAGTCTTGTCATAATGGACAAAGGCCAAATGTTTTCTGTTATCATCTAGTTATAATCTGTGTCAAGTATAAAATATGATCTTACTAGATCAACAAATCGAAGAGGCCTAAATTTATTATTTTATAAAATAATAAGATAATTAAACTAGCTTCATTCTTGTGCTTTTATATGAATGAAAGTACTCTGCAAATACATCTCCTAATATTGGAAATGTTATTCCTGACTCCTGTAGGGAAGATAAAATAGCTAGCAGATTAATTGCCAAATTATATTCAAGAACTTTTTTCAAAACAGGTTTTATGGCTTAATATATCACAAAGCTACAATAATAGATTACTTTAAATTAAGATTAGCTAGGGATGGGCTTATATTCTTGATATTATATTCTCTCTGTAATTTCAGCCCATGAGTAAGTAATTATTTCTCACCTCCTGCATGGCTTTGGTATTAGTCAGTTTCCAGAAGAGTTTGTTTTCCAAACAAGGGTACCACTTACTACAAATTTAATTTAAAGATGGAATTGGCTTTCATTTGTGATTTTAGAATTTTATGGATTCTATTTAGAGGCTCAAACAACACTGATTCACTTGATTTAGCTTCAAATGAGTAATGAAGTCTAGCTTAGCAGGTTTTATGTTGTCAGTATTCTTTGCCTAAGATTCCACAGCTCTTCCTGGATATTAATACACTATTATGTGTGCAGTTTCTTTAATTTTGGTCCAAGGAAAGCAGAGGTACATCCATTTGTTTCCATTCTAAACAATCCTGCAGCTCAACCACACTGACAGTAGAGCCCACTCCATCTGCCCAGGAAAATCTCCCATCCAGAGCATTTTCACAAGCGGCATTTTATAAAATGACAGTTACATAGATTTGGAAGGAGACCGAACAGGATCATGAGTGAGTGCAAACCCATGTGTCAGATAGAAGACTGCAGAGTCAGAGGTTAGTGAGTGCTAAACACATCTGCAGTAAGGAAACAGAGCAATCAACCGAGAATGACTAATCACCTGGGCTGATGGCACCATTTTTGACTTCTCTTTCTCTTCTCTTTTTTTGCAGAATTCTTTCTTAGGTAAGATCATGACTGAGAAGTCACCTCACAGTGTATAATATGACGACTAGAGCTTCACATACACCTTTTCTTTGATGTCACAATCCTGTAATTAGGAAGTAACTAACATGTTGAAAAAATGTTCTATGCTGACCACTGGAGGAGGAAAAAATTCAGATCAAAACGTCTCATTTGGAGGCCAGGTGTAGTGGCTCATGCCTGTACGCAGGTGGAAAACCTGAGCTCAAGAGTTTGAGACCAGCCTGGTCAACATGGTGAGAACCCATCTCTACTAAAAGTACAAAAATTAACTGGGTGCAGTGGCAAGTGCCTATAATCCCAGCTACTCAGGAGGTTGAGGAAGGGGAATCACTTGAGCCCCAGAAATAGAGGTCGCAGGTTGCAAAGACTGCATGATTGCACCCCAGCCTAGGTGACAGAATGAGACCTTTGTCAAACAAACAAAAACACAAAAAAACAAACAAAAAACACAAGAAAGTGAGATATTTCTGCTCTTTCCCCCAAATTACTATCTCATTTTAGTGAAGACCACACATTACATGAGAGCCAGGGGTATGTGGCTGCACTCATCTTCCCCTTCAAGTCACAGACCCCCTCTGTCTCTGCTAGTCCCTGGTGAGCACAGGGTCACCAAGGGAGACCTAGGTCGCCA